GTTCATTCAAACGATTCGTTCAAACGGCAGATTCATCAGATGTTTATGCATGGGCTAATGAAACTTTGACTCACTCAACCGATTCGTTCAAAACACGGAATCAATCAGCAATGAATCGTCTGGTTGCTGTGAGTTGCGCTGTGTTTCTGCCTAAAATGTAAGTGACCTAATATTATTGTATTTGCTTATTGAACTGTTATAGAACTATTAAACAGTTGTAATGGTGAAAACGTTGTGTGATGTTGCCAACTAACTAACTAACTAACTAACTAACTAACTAACCAGAGGTGGACGAAGTACACAAATCAAGTACTTGAGTAAAAGTACAGATCCGTATAGTAAAATATTACTCCAGTAAAAGTTAAATGTTTTAAATTTTACTCGAGTGAAAGTACAAAAATACTTGATTTTTTATGTACTTAAGTAAAAAGTACAGATAGATTAATGTTTATTTTGCAGTTTTATATAGGCTACTTTTATCATTTAATTTTATATTAGCATTTTTTTTATATAATCCTACTGCTCAAAATACCTGGGATTTTCCCAAAATAACCAATAAGGAAATAATGAATATAATAAGGAAAATATAATTGTACGATCTTATGCTTTGGAATGTAGTGAAGTAAAAGTAAAAGTTACTCAAAATAAAACTACTCCAGTAAAGTACAGATACTTGAAAAATGTACTTAAGTACAGTAACGAAGTAAAACTACTTCGTTACTGTCCACCACTGTAACTAACTAACTAACTGTATTTAAAATATAAAAACTTTCCATTTTGAATTTTTACCTCAGGATGCTGAGTTTCTCTGAGTGTTGCACATTTTGATTTCTCCTGGAGAGAGACTGTGTGAGCCTCGCCTCAGCAGCGCAACCTTATACTGTCAATAGATGCATTATACAGTAGCTATATCTCGAAATGTAATAAAATCAAAATAATACTGCAAAATAATACTATACTATTATAACATTCAGTCCATATGATTTATGGAAATTGTATGTAATTATTAAGGCATGAATATTATTAAATATTTCACTGCAAAAAAAAAAATATATATATAAAAATAAATCCAGTAAAATAAATAAACTACCTTAAAACCAGATACATTTATCAAGACATGAGATTGTATAAGGTAATGAGAACTGCTTAAGATGAAGTTATTTTTTATTATCCTATTGGCAAATTATTTTATGCTTAAAACAAGGAAAAGCTAGTCACTTTAAGAAAATTATTTTTTGCAGTTATGCGTTTCACTGCAAAAAAGGTTTTTATTATCCAGTAAAATTTAAAAAATATATATATTATTTTCCAAGATGCAAAATATTTGCAAATTGTTTTATGCTTAAATCAAGAAACAAGTACCATTGATTATTTTTTTGCCTGTGTAAAAAAATGAAACTCCTTTTGTAAGAACTGAAAACTGTTTAAGTTATTTTTTTCTTACTCCATTGCCAAATTGGCAAGTTTAATGCATGAAACAAGAAAAAAGTACTATGGATTAAGAATTTTTTTTTTTGCATTGATGTGGGTTTAGATTGACATGAGGATGAGTTCATGATGACAGGGTTGAGTGATTCTTTCTGCTGTCTGCTGGGATGAATGCTGGAGCTACAGTTAAAGTCTCCTCAGAGATCAATAAACACTGTGTGCTGAAACCAGTGCTAAAACACAGTAAATCATCTGATGAGATGCACACATGAGCTCTGTGATGTCAGGACACGAGTGCAATTGTGTGATCATGTTTGTCGAACACTTTCCTTGTGTTGCATGAAGGTTATGGAGCAATTCCTCATCAGATTCAGTGTTTTATTCCTTGTTTATAGGGACCTTTGATCAATACTCACTGTGTGTGTGTGTGTGTGTGTGTGTGTGTGTGTGTGTGTGTGTGTGTGTGTGTGTGTGTGTGTGTTCAGTGTTTTGTTCCTTGTAATCATGGCTTGTTTATCGGGGCCTTTGATCAATACGCATTTTGTGATCATTTTCTCTGATTCATGCCAGATAAAAGTCAGAAAGATGAACAGGAGAGACAAATGTACAAACCCCTTTCATCTCGTTTGTCTCTGAGAACACATTAAAGCCCTGAATGTTCCTCATGTGTGAGAAGAGTATTATACTGAGAGCATTATCTCTTCCTTTTTATTCTTTATTCTAAAATGGTCCACTATTAAATCAACTCATGCTTCCTGTACAGACAATTTAATTTTGTAATCATTTCAGACTTAGATCTTAATCATAATGAGTATTCATATCACATTCTTAAACAGTATTATTGTAAAAATATACATTTTTAACTATAGAAACAATAGTTGCTTTTTTAAAAATGGATAAATAAATAAACTTCATGCCTGTTCAAAAATGTGAAAAAAAGTAAAATAAAAATGATAAAATCTTCTGACAGTGGTGACATCTTCTTAGTTGCTTATTAAATTATAGAAACAAAATATATATTTTTTATTTAATAAATGAAAAAACAACCTTTTCAGTCATAATGTGGGATTCAATGACACACCACATTTTAACCTGAAATTGTTAAAGGTGACATATCATGAAAATCTGACTTTTCCAGGTTTTAAGTGCTATAATCAGGTCCCCGGTGCATCTACCAACCAAGGAAATGTGAAAAAGATTAACTCAGTAACTTTGTTTTGGGAAGCCTTTTTCTGCAAGCGTCTGAAAAAACGAGCGAGTCTGATTTCACTCCCTTGGTGACGTGGCAAAGGGATCTCATTATAATATTACCGCCCCTTAATCTGTACCAGTTCTAATGCCATGGCGAAAGTTTGAGCAAAACATGCTAACTGTTCAGTGGTTGGCTGCACAGATGAGCACAGAACACTGTTTAGATCTAAAATAAACATGCAATTTATTTCCCAGCTGTTTACCTTCACAGACATAACCCACTGTTTTTGTAACTCATGTGTGTTTTTAAGGTAAACTTGTGTGTGAATGAGAACTTAGTTTAGTACTCACGTGCTGTGACAGCCGCTTTCTGTGCGTGTGCTTCGGATGTGTGCGCTCAGAAAACCGTATATCAGAAGTTTAAACTCATATGGTTTAAAACGCATGATTTCAGCGCGATAAACATGATAATCAGAACCAAAACAGATGTTTTTAGCAGGTACGAGCTGTAATGGCGCAGCTCTATTCTGGAAAAGGGGGCGGGGAGCAGCAGCTCATTTGCATTTAAAGAGACAGGCCCGAAAAACAGCGTGTTTCTGCTTCCACTCAAAATAGACATTTTCAAAATGATATAATAAATGATCTGTTGAGTATTTTGAGCTGAAACTTCACAGACACATTCTGTGGACACCAGAGACTTATATTACATATTGTAAAAAGGGGCATAATATGTCTCCTTTAAACTTTAAAATCATCAACAAGGTTTTACACTTTATTGATGTTTAAATATAGTTGTTTATAGACAAATCATCAAAGCTTGTCTTCAGCACTGTGTTGTATCCAAAACAGAATTTACACTGAAATGGATGGTACATTTCAGTTATGAGTGTAATTTGACTGGCTTGTGAAATTAATAAAATAGTCATAATAACCTGGGAATTATGTGCGTTTACTTAGATGTCTGAATTAAATTATAAGCAGTGAAAGTTGGACTTATTAACTTAGAATTGTAATCGAGTCAGGGTAAAAATATTTAGTAATATACATACAGTATACTTTATTACTAAAGTTTTGGTGCAAATTGTTTAGAATAACTACATACCTGTACAAAACAAATATTGTTCATTGTTTTAAAATTTTCAGACATTTCTGTGCTGCAGCAGAGTGTGAAAATCAAATAGCTTTCCGGTGAACCCTTCAAAGTTAAATTTTTGTAACACCAACATGTAATTTGTTACTATATACTGTATTTGTTAATATATATAAATGTGACCCTGCAGCACAAAAGCAGTCTTAAGTCGCTGGGGTATATTTGTAGCAATAGCCAACAATACATTGTAGAAAGATTATTTATTCGGCTTTCAGATGATGTATAAATCTCAATTTAAAAAAAATTGACCTTATGACTGGTTTTGTGCTCCAGGGTCACATATATAGAAATATGGATCTATATATAGAGAGAAAATTGGAGGGTTTTAGGACCCTGATGAGCATGAGAATCAGAAGCTTCACCAGTCAAGAGAGAGAGAGAGAGAGAGAGAGAGAGAGAGAGAGAGAGA